TTCATGTGTGCAGTTCATCCTCAACCAGGAAGTGAACCTCGGGAGAGAACAATGATTAGTAAACAAGCAAACAATAACCCAATAAAACAAACACTTGAATGAAAACATACAAAGTCAATGTATTAATCAACTAAAGTGGATCCTAAGTTTAGATGATCAACACATGTCACATAACCAAAACCAAACATTCAGCTTAACTAATAAATAAGAGTTTTATCATCTGACTGGTGAGGGGGTGAGTGGAGCTCCCTCACACCACCTTAAGCAGTGTATGCCCAGATGTTCTTGAAAGTGCTGGTACAAAACATTCATGCTTTTTAACTGACAATGAGTCCGGAGTTATTTATATTCTGCTATAGACGTGCATAAAGCACAACATTTGTTTTACCATCTCAAAACCTACACTGTAAAGCTAAAGTTATTTTAGTTTTAAGTAACACAAACTCATTTTTTTAAGTAAGTTACAGAAAAATTCCTGGTTATGTACTTTTTACTAGCTAATTTTGTTTTCACAGTACGAATAAAAATTACAAAATGAAGTCAGTGTCACTTAAAATTGGTAAAGCTACTGGATCGAGAATGTTTTAATGACTTACAAAATGTAGTTACTTTTACTTACAATTTTTGATGTAAGCTGTTTCAACAGTTTTTTGAGTAAAAGTGGACTTTGTCTTTACAGCGTCACTCCTGTAATGGAATCCATGCTTCCTCTGTGTGTGCACTAAAGGCTGAGAGGACAAGTTCCACTAATTCACACAACACAACTGCTCCAAAACACACACTGCTTTATTTAAAGCCTCCTCCTCTTCCTGGAATGAATGTGGGCATAGTAACCCCTCCCTCCTCTTCCTGTTTTCCAACTCAGCCAGTCCCATTCAGTCCTGATGTTTCCTGCTTCCTCTTTCTTTCGCAGATCTCCAAGTGCACAGTGGTGTAATCAACATGTAGTTAAGTGAAGCCCCATTTACTGCAGATCAGCGAACAATAATCAGGAAAGGGAACTAAGCTTTGGTATGGATCAGTTCTCTGTTTATATTTTGAACGAGAAAGTGAAACTCTTTTATATTCACTGTCTCTTCGAGGCAAAATGGCGCAGCAACAAAGCCTTTTGGATCAGAAAAAACTCTGCTGTTCCATCTGCCTGGATCTACTGAAGGATCCAGTGACTATTCCCTGTGGACACAGCTACTGTATGAACTGTATTAAAAGCCACTGGGATGAAGAAGATCAGAAGAAAGTCTACAGCTGTCCTCAGTGCAGACAGACCTTCAGACCGAGGCCTGCCCTGGTGAAAAACACCATGTTAGCAGATTTAGTGGAGGAGCTGAAGAAGACAGAACCTCAAGCTGCTCCAGCTGATCACTGCTATGCCGGACCAGGAGATGTGTCCTGTGATTTCTGCTCTGGGAGAAAGATGAAAGCTCTCAAGTCCTGTCTGCAGTGTCTGGTCTCTTACTGTGAGCAACACCTCCAGCCTCACTATGAATCCGCTGCCTTTGAAAAACACAAGTTGGTCGACCCCTCCGAGAAGCTTCAGGAGAACATCTGCACTTGCCATGGTAAAGTGATAACGATTTTCTGCCGCACTGATCAGCAGTGTATCTGTATTCTCTGCTCCATGGATAAACATAAAGGCCATGACACTGTCTTAGCCTCAACAGAACGAACTGAGAGGCAGGGAGAGCTAGGAACGAGTCGGCAGAAAATCCAGCAGAGAATCCAGGACAGAGAGGAAGATGTGAAGGTGCTTCAGCAGGTGGTGGAGGCTATCGATTGCTCTGCTGATAAAGCAGTGAGGGACAATGACAAGATTTTCACTCAGCTGGTTCGCCTTATCAAGAACAGAAGCTCGGATGTGAAGCAGCAGATCAGATCCCGGCAGAAAACTGAAGTCAGTCCGGTAAAAGAGCTTCAGGAGAAGTTGCAGCAGGAGATTACTGATCTGAGGAGGAAAGACAACGAGCTGGAACAACTCTCAAACATAGGGGACCACATCCAGTTTCTACACAATTACCCCTCGCTGTCATGTCTTAGTAAATCTACAGACTCACCCAGCATCGATATCCGCCCTCTGCAGTACTTTGAGGATGCGACTGCAGCTGTGTCAGAGGCCAGAGATAAACTACAGGACATACTTAGTGATGTATGGACCAAAATCTCACTGACAGAGACTGAGGTGGATGTTTTACTGCCACAAGCAGAGCCCATGACCAGAGCTGAGTTCTTACAATATTCATGCCAAATGACACTGGATCCAAACTCAGCAAGCATACGGCTGTTATTATCTGATGGGAACAGAAAAGCAACAGTGACTAGTGAAAAGCAGTTATATTCTAGTCATCGTGACAGATTTACTGACATGTTTCAGGTCCTGAATAGAGAGAGTCTGAGCGGACGGCACTACTGGGAGGTGGAGATGAGATATGAAGTTTCAGTAGCAGTCACATACAAAGATATCAACAGAGCAGGATATACAAGTGGATTTGGAAATGATGACAAGTCTTGGGCATTAGAGTGTTTCAACAACAGTTATGCATTCAGACATAATGGTGTTAGCACTTTTGTCCCAGGTCCTCAGTCCTCCAGAGTGGGAGTGTACCTGGATCACAGGGCAGGTATTCTGTCCTTCTACAGCGTCTCTGAGACCATGACTCTCCTCCACAGAGTCCAGACCACATTCACTCAGCCGCTCTATCATGGACTGGGTGTTTTTGCGTCATATGGTAGTGGATCCAGTGCTGAGCTCTGTAAGCTTGAGTAGGTAGAAGATACAGTAAACAGCCGTGAGTCTGTAGCCTCACAAAGATTTAAGATGATTCAGTGAATGGTGATGTGATTTAGGAAAAGGTGCTGCCTTTTCTTTTTGATTTGATTTGATTATGTAATTTATTATTTGATTCGGGAGCTATAAGCCAGTATTGTATAAACATTGCCTAAACATAATGCCTGTCAATTACATCTTTCAACAGACGGTATTATGGTTTTGGCTCTTGAGGTACTTCAGGAGAGTTTTGCAATGTTTACTGGAGTTGTACTTCTCAGAAATCCAAAGCAAACTTTAAAAAAAACAATCTGCTGCTGAATTTGAATTATGAAAAAGAACATCAAAAATGAATTTAAGTTTACATTTACAGTCAGTGAAGGCATAATCAGAGTAAGTATGTGATTTATTCTAATGTTTGCAGAAACTCACTTTACATTCATCAATGAAGGTCCAGAGTCTTTTTCCACACTAATGCTTTCTTTTCTACTATATTCCAAAAGTATCATCTTCAGGTACAAAATGTATACCCGATTCTTTTACACTCACTATACAATATTTTTTATATATAGGATTTTGTTTACAACTGATTTTGTTTTTATATTTAAAAAATATATTTCATATTTTTACAAGTATCAAGAAAAGCACATTGCAAATAAATACAATATTGTCAATTTGGCTCCATTGACTATAATGTTCACGAGGGATTGCACTATAAAAAACACTGACGACTGAAATCAGCTGGCTGCCTGAAAAATTTGTGCTTTTATTTTCTTCACTGCATTCAGAGGGAAATATACATTTATCTGAGAGCTGCAGATTGTATGTACAAAGCAGTGTAATAGTGATGCATTTTTTAGGTCATAAATCAGGCATGCCCTCACACACATACACCACAACACTCCTTCACACACACTACCACTTAGAGCCTGAATCATATTTGCTTACACGCACACACCACACTCATACACTCTCACAAACACCATTACACACTCTGTAATACTGTATGTAAGACAGAATAGTGGGGTATAAGATACAATAATTGTGTGTGAGATTGTGCATCTTGTCTTACAATGATGCATTGTTATACTGGCCAACAGTACCTTAAATTACAATGACATTAAAACTGTGTTTACATTTTTGCTTTATCGTGAATAATAATAATAATGAATAATAATAATGTGACACTGACAGCATTGTGCTGCCTAATGAGCACTTTCACCAGACATGTATTAAGACACATATACAAATAATCTGCTTGGAACTACAATGCATACCTGATGTGTGTTTTCAGCAAAAAATAAATAAATAATAATAATTTCTGACTTCAATTCCTTAAAAAGTAATCTCCTCCTTCTTCCTCATTATAACCTCCAGAATCTCTGAATATGCAAATGTTGTTCATTTCTAAAGTTTTCCTGCTGGACACAAGATGTCTCCTCCTTCACTGTAAAGTCCATTCTCAGTGGATGTGCACCGGTGGCTTCATGTTTCTACATCACACTGTACAAGTTGCATACTGAGGAATATTTTGATTGGTGTGATGATTCATAAACTATTACAGCATATTCGGGTCACATTGTAATCAGTAATACCCTATTTTATCTAGCCTCGTGATAAATGTGTTTAAATAACAGTGCTGGGCTAGTTACTCAAAGAAATGTAATTTATTACTGATTACTCCTTTCAAAAGTAATATTTTACTTTACTTACTCCCTACCGACAGTAATTAGTTACTAGTTATATTACTTTTCTTCTACTACAAACAAAATTGGTAATTGTGCCCCTTCTTCCCAGAATTCAGACTGACAACGTTAAAATCCAAATGTGTTTGTTAAAATCAGAGTAATGGAATATTTCCAGCTGCTGAATGTAAAAGTTTCCATCTTCCAAACGAGTTTCCTCCACAATTACAAAAATAATTCCAAGCATGTGATTGATTTTAAAATTAGTAGGAGGGTTAGAAGAAAAGTAATGCTGTAACTAATTCTTTTTTGGGGTGTAATCTCATTACTAAACGTATTAGTAAATAGTTACAATAGTAGTTATTGGGGGGAAAGTAATATTATTAGTAGTAATGAGTTACTGCCCAAAACTGTTAAATATATCTGACATGGAAACACAGACAGACTAACGTCCAGTCACATCCATAAAAATAAAAAAAAACGTTTATACAAAACTGTGACGAACAAGCGGAACCTTTGGTCGACTGCACCGACACGGAACGTTCTAGCGCGGGACTCGAGAACGCGGAAGTGAAGCGCTGCTGCTGCCTCTGTTTATGTTTTCGTCTTCGCGCCGCACAGAAAACGCCATTTGTCCTCAAACATGGCGGTGAGCGCCGTCCACCTGGAGTCCGACGCCTTCCTGGTGTGTATGAACCACGCGCTGAGCACAGAGAAGGAGGAGGTGATGGGGCTGTGTATCGGAGAGGTCGAGACCACCCGCATCGTCCACATCTACTCCGTCATCATCCTCCGCCGCTCGGACAAGAGGAAGGACCGGGTGGAGATCTCCCCGGAGCAGCTGTCGGCGGCCTCCACGGAGGCGGAGAGGCTGGCCGACATCACCGGCAGGCCGATGCGGGTGGTCGGCTGGTACCACTCCCACCCGCACATCACCGTGTGGCCGTCCCACGTCGACGTGAGGACCCAGGCCATGTACCAGATGCTGGACCAGTGCTTCGTGGGCCTCATTTTCTCCTGCTTCATCGAGGACAAGAACACCAAGACGGGCCGGGTGCTGTACACCTGCTTCCAGTCCGTGCAGGCGCAGAAGGGCTCCGAGTACGAGCGGGTGGAGATCCCGATCCACGTCGTTCCCCGCGAAGCCATCGGTAAGGTGTGCCTGGAGTCGGCCGTGGAGCTGCCGCGGATCCTGTGCCAGGAGGAGCAGGACACCTACCGCAAGATCCACAGCCTGGCGCACCTGGACCCCGTCACCAAGATCCACAACGGCTCGGTGTTCACCAAGAACCTGTGCAGCCAGATGTCGGCGGTGAGCGGGCCGCTGCTGCAGTGGCTGGAGGACCGGCTGGAGCAGAACAAGCAGAGCATCGTGGAGCTGCAGCAGGAGAAGGAGAGGCTGCTGCAGGAGCTGGCTGCTCTGTGAGGCTGCAGGGAGGAGGCTGCAGGAGGAGGCTGCAGGGGGAGGCTGCAGGGGGAGGCTGCAGGAGGAGGCTGCAGGGGGAGGCTGCAGGAGGAGACCACCAGTTGTTCTTCTGTTGTTGGACAGTGGGGAATGACTTTCGGTTCTAGCTTCTTTACTGTTTTCATACCTTCCACGCAGGGCTGTGTATCAAACAACACTTTTCTTGTACCTTTGTTCAGAGTACAGAGTACTGACGACTGTCCAATACCAAAAGTTGGCATTAAATGTCTGGTTAGTCTTGATTGCTCATTCTTGATTAGACATTTCCTTATTTAATCAGAATTTTGCTACATGTATTAAAGCTGTAGGTAACGTTTATAAAAATAAATAACTTCCTTTCACTCTATCCTGACAGTAGTACATGAGACAGATAATCTGTGACATAATCAGGTTCCTATGAGTCCTCCTAGTGCTCCTCATGATATCTGCAAGAATCCACTGACACTATATATAATGGACACAGCCTCAAGGTCTGAAAAGTGAAGCCAACCCGGTGGTCTCTTAAACCTGCATTCTGTGTAAATTCCAGCAGGTGGCAGCACCATTGGCTGCAATAACACAGCGATCCCACTCACTCTAATGGAGAATGAGCCCACTTGTCACTTCCTTTATGAGCTCAGTAAACAGTTTCCTGATGAGTTCAGGGTCTCAGTGTTAGTTTAACATTTTCTTCAATACAGCATGATGTTCATTTAGTAAATGATGGTCTAATTGAATTTAAAATAGATGAGAAACCACATGTGCTTTTGGGCGGGGCGACCTTATGATTGACAGGTTGTCAATTTGACTGAGAATCAACAATCAACTATCTTTCTCAGCTCTGATTGGTTGTTTTCTTTCATGGTAGCACTAGGAGGAGCTAGAGGAACCTGATTTTATCAAAGATTATCAGTCTCCTGTTCTGTCAGGGTATAGTGACAGTTTCAGCAAATATGACAAAAAAAATGTCTGAAAGAGTGAAAAAGCCCAGAGCCCAGACAATATTTTGTCTTAAACACAAAGATGCCCAATGATATAATGATACTCCAAATCCTAACATTTGAGGAGGTGGAACGAGAGCGTGTTTACCTCGGAAAGTCCTTTTGAAGAGAATTGATTATCACAATTGCTGCAGGTTGGATCAACTCACCGTTTCAGCTCTAGTTTCTATTGAGCTGGTATATGGTCAAATTTGTATTTTCTCAGATAGTTCCTGATTTAAATAATATCTTAACAAATAGTTTTTGTACAGCTCTTTTGTGATGATACAGAGTTAAACTTGCTCCGTTTAAAAAGTTTGTTTTGTTAAGAAGAGAAACCAGTTTCATTACAGGAAAATACTTTCATTCCTCTTGCTGGTGCTGTGCTGTGTATTTTGGGCAAACTGATTATTGTCCTGGGTGCACATAAGTTACGGATCTATTTTGTAAAGAGAAGAAATATTGGTGATATTTTTATGTTAAAAATGTATGTTGAACATTATTGACACCCTTCTTCCAGACTGCTGCTGTTAATATCAACGGAAGCTTTTATTGTATGGAGCTCAAACGATTAGCTGAGTATATGAAGTCATTCGACCAAAAATATATATATATATATTATTTTATATATCCAAAATCAATCTGGATAATTCATATTTGAAGTTATTCAAGCAAAATTGTTGTTGACTAATCGTTTGGTGTTAATGTTAATGACAGCAAGGACAGATTGGAGAGAGAGAGAGTGTGTGTGTGTGTGTGTGTGTGTGTGTGTGTGTGTGTGTGTGTGTGTGTGTGTGTGTGTGTGTGTGTGTGTCTACAAATAGGTTTTCATCCTGTACAGAAGCAGATGAAGAGATTTTGTCTCTATTTACTGTTTACCCTTGGTTACTCATTAATACAGTGTCTGGTTGGATCAGGCCATTGAGGACAATGTTGCAGATTATTAAGCATGTGTGGTAATGTTGCATTTACAGGATTTTGGTCCAATGAAGTGAAATCTTGTTTCACTGTACAATGATATATGATGATATTTTAGACAGTAGTGTTCTTCCAACTTCAATTGGTTGTCCCGATTTGTAGCGAAAGACCTTGACCGGCCTGCATAGAGCCCTAATCTCAACCCCATCCAACCGCTTTGGGATGACCTGGAACACTGATACTGAGAGTCAACTTCAATAATGTGTCTGAATGTGAGCAAATGTCTGCAGCCAGGTTAGAAAATCCTCCCCATGATAGTGGAGGCGATAAGAGCAGCAGCTTAATGCCCATGGGTTTGTTCAACTATCACACATGGGTTGTCCACAAACTTTTGGCTACATATTCCTTGATTTTTCAGATATTTAATTCTGCCAAAAAAAATGTATCTAGTGGTTTACATAATGTGACTGAAGATACAGTCTTCAGACACCTGTAATGGAAAGGGATGGTTAATGGAAGGAAATCTGATGGTGTAAAATATTAAGCAATTTATGGTAAATTACCAAAAACAAACAAAACTATAGCTGGGTACAAGAAGAGCCTCCCTCATTATAAGTAATCTCTCTGAATCAGAGCCAACTGAGCCCACTGAGGGACACGTGACAAAGAGAATGTGCCTTTGGACTAATGAAAGTGTCATTGTACGTATTGTGTACTGTAAATAAAGGTTATTGGATGTAAAGGCTGTGTGGGCGGTGTCTGTGTAACACAGTAACATCTAATGCCCTTGATTGACTTTTGTTGAGTCTCTTTACTGTTTGCTGTGTCTTTTTCTTCTGCCTGGCCTCATCACAGATTTGTAAAGCCTGATATCTCATCTTAAAGGAGTATAATTATTTACGCTGTTTTTGTCTGAAATGCTACAATCCACCTACTGTAAAATAAAAATCTCTTTTACTTTACTATACTGGGAACCAGAGGTACAGTTTCAGTAAAGTAGAAATATCAATTTGATATTATAATAAGTTTATAACAATAATTCCCAGCTGCTGGTCACTCAGTAAGCAGTTTGGGCTCTGGTCACACTACTAATGTAGAAAGGCTATTCCCGGAGTGCAGCACTGCTAAATTTACTCAGTCAAATCTGAATACACATACCGGTACATGATATTCAGTGCAGGCTGTCATACATTCATTATCCATTGTGAAAATGTACCTCAGTCGGCTTAGAAATCAGAGGGGTTAAAGATTCAACTCCAGTGACATGCAACTGAGAAAGCTGAAAGCTCCCCTCCACTCATTAATCAGTGCTTCCTCTTGTCCCTAGTGTGCTGTGTGAATGTTGTATGTGCACTTTGAAACTAGAAGGATGTTTTCACTTTCTTTTGCTGAAAGTGGAAAGTTTCTCTGTGTTTACTGAAAATCAGATTTTAAGGGGCGGGCCCTTTATGTGAGATGATATGTGACATCACAAATAGTTTGGAGGTCAATCCCGGTCGAGTATGCAATTTTTTATAAGTGTTATGTAGAAACTTGTAGCCTCCAGTGCACGTACACTGAGGAGCAGAGTTATAGTTTCAAGTCCGTTTAGTTTTGGGTAGTTTCCAGAGTGGGTTTGCTAGTTCAATTTATTTTATTTTTTTTTCAGTATTAATTCATTTTATTTTTTAAGTCTAAGCACTAGGAGGAGCCAGAGGAACCTGTTTTTCTATTATTATCTGTTTCATGAACTACCGTCAGGATGTAGTGAAAGTTTCAGAAAATATGACTAAAAGTATTTTGTTATTATAAAAGTTACCTACTGTTGCTTTAACTTTGACTTTTGTCACTGCAGTAGGAGCTGCTGTCAGTCTGTTACAACAGTCTCTCAGATAACTCAAGTAACTTTGTAACAAAAGATGAGTTGTTGAATTTATTCTTACATTGTTGTTCCTATTATAAATATCTTTTGAGAGTGAAGTTAAGTCAAATTTTATTTATATAGCCCAAAATCATAATTTGTCTCAGGGGGCTTTACAACCTCTGTCCATGGACCCTAAAGGTGACCTTCCTGACACACTAGTATTCTAACTGTGTAGTAAAGAGCTCTTTTAAGCAACTCATTCTTGGAAACAAAACAACTTTATTATTTGATTGTGTCCACATATCCAACCAGTGAATTATTTTATTGTCTTTCTCTTAACATCTACATATTGACTTTATACACACAAACAGTATGTTGAACAAGTATGTCAGCACTGTGGAGAGAAATCAATGTTCTTCCTACTGATGAATGAAACTAATGATTCAAATATAACTACACTTTTTTTTCTTCTCTCTCGTTTCATTCTTTACGAGCGCAGACCCCGATCTAGAGCCAGTGTTTGGTTTGTACCGTTGAAACATGGCGGCCTCAACAAAAGGAGACCTATTGTGTCTGTAGCCAAAAAGGGCAGATTCTAGATCCTCCTAAATTTACACACTGGACCTTTAGGGCACAATTAATAGAACAGCAATGTAAAATATTACAACAAACAGTGCAAATATAGAAAAAACAGGATGTCTACAGTTTATAAATCACACAGAAGATTACAGTTTCATATAGAAAAATGCTCATTTTGGATTTATTACTAAATTAACTATCATTAACAGTAATTTAACCATTATCTAATCTGTGAAAGCAATTTCTGTTTGCTGATCTATACAATGGTTTCTGGGAAAAACCCACTCTAACTCTACTTGATGTCACAAAACTCAGCTGTAGATCCAAAATAACGAACACCAAGTCCAGCATACAGTGGCTGAGTGAATGTGGTCTGGACTTTGTGGAGGACAGTGATGGATTCAGAGATGCTATAAAATATCAGAATACCTGCTCTGAAATCCACAAACACTCCAATCCTGGAGGCCTGAGGGGCTGAGATGGATATTTTGTCACTGTTATGTTTGAAATTATAACCCTTACCTTTGGGTAAACACTCTAATACCCAAGACTTGTCATTGTTTCCAAACATACTTTCGTCTCCTGTTCTGGGAATATCCTTTTGTGCAACTGCTATCGAGGCTCCTAATCCACTCCACTGCACTTCCCAGTAACACCGTCCAGTCAGACTCTCTCTGCTCAGAACCTGAGACTTGTCCATGAATCTAAGTGAGTTACTTGAACATGGCTGTTCTTCTCTCATTGAGGTTGCTTTTCTGTTATCTTCAGACAATAACATCCGCATGTTTGCTGTGTTTGGATCCAGTTTTAACTGATGCTTTTTAACTGCATAATGTGAAAACTCAGCTCTTGTCTTGGGGTCTTGTGGAAGTAAAACATCCACTTCAGTAACTCTAATTGCGATATTTTTCAATTTCTTCCTGTAACTTTCCAGTAATTCAGCTCTAGCCTCTGACACAGCTGTTGTCACATCCTCAAAGTATCGCAGTGGGCGTTCCCTATCGATCCTGGGTATGATGGTAGATTTACTGAGGTGTGGCAGTGAGTAGAACTTGCGCAGAAACTGGGTTTGATCCTCTGTGTGTGAGAGCTCCTCCAGATCAGCATCTTTCCTCCTCAGATCAGCGATCTCCTGCTCCAACTTCTCCTGAAGCTCTTTGGAACGACTCACTTCAATCTCCTGGTGGGATCTGATCTTCTGCTTCACAGCAGAACTTCTCTCAGTGAGACGAACCAGCTCAGTGTACATCTTTTGACTTTCCTCTGCTGCTTTGTCAGCAGAGCGATTGATAACTTCCACCTCCAGCTGAAACAACTTTGCATATTTCTCTTGGTTCTGGATTCTCTGTTGGATTTCCTGCCGACTTGGCCCAATCTCTCCCTTCCTTTTTGTCATTTCTGCTTCTGCTACGACAGTGTCATGGCCTTTATGTTCATCCATGGAGCAGAGATAACAGATACACTGTCGATCAGTGCGACAGAATATCTTCATTACCTCGTTGTGACGAGAGCAGATGTTCTCCTGAAACTTTGCAGAAGCTTCAATTAGCTTGTGTTTCTTCAATGGAACCACTGCATAGTGAGGCTGAAGGTGGACCTCGCAGTAAGAGACCAGACACTGCAGACAGGACTTCAGAGCTTTACGTTTTCTCCCAGTGCAGAGATCACAGGCCACATCTCCTGGTCTGGCATGGCAGTGTTTAGCTAGAGCAGCTTGAGGTTCTGTCTTCTTCAGGTCCTCCACTAAATCTGCTAACATGGTGTTTTTCACCAGGGCAGGCCTCGGTCTGAAGGTCTGTCTGCACTGAGGACAGCTGTAGACTTTCTTCAGATTCTCTTCATCCCAGTAGTTTTTTATACAGTTCATACAGTAGTTGTGTCCACAGGGAATAGTCACTGGATCCTTTAGTGGGTTCAGACAGATTGAACAGCAGAATTTTTCCGAGTCGGGTTTATCTCCTTGCTGTGCCATTGCTCACTGATAGTGAATATCATTAAGGTTGTGAATATCAACCTGTTCAGCAGGAGGGAGTGGTTTACAGATTGTGCTTTATTCCAGGAAGGGGAGTGCTGGTCACCAGATCACCTTACTTAAGGTTCTTATCTCTTAGCCAAATTATTTTACATGATTTTACATACTGGCCGAGCAAGTTGAGAGCATACGCATTAGCAGTTTTCTCTTTCTGACTTTCTCCAGCTTGTACTCGTAGTAATAATTGCTCTTTGAGACTTTTCAAATGTTACTGAACCTAATGGATCAAAGTCTTTTAAAGAGAGAGCGAGTGTGTGTGTGATCAGTAAAATGTGCTACTCATGTTACTCATGTTACAGGTAGACTTAATAATAGCTTAGTTCTATTCTGTGTTCCAGTAACAGTGAACCAGCATGCACAACAGCAGGCCCTCCTTTGAGTGGAATGCAGCAATAATAAATACCTCTCTGAGTTTCCTTTTATCAAAATCATCGGTCTCTACTTTGAAAGATCAGGTACTTTCCATCATGAGGCAAAACAGAGAAGCATCAAAATAACAGGAACTCTCCATCGGAACAAATGAGGAAGTGCACAATGAATATGATAACCAAAGCAGTGAAAATAGTGAAGTTGATTTTATGCGCTTATATGAAATATGTATGTGATTATAAGTTGATTTTATGAGATATGTAACGTTGATTGAAGTTAATTATTGATTATAATTATAAAAAAGGAACATGTAATAATGAAGAGAAATCATGTATGAAATTAAATGTATGAAGTATATGAACTAAGACAAGACTGTAGAAAAAGGGGAACAAAGGGTCAAATCAAGTTGAGAGCTGGGCTACGAGCAAGAAGGCCCTAGACAGGATCGGACCGGCTTGAGGAGTTGAGAGGAAGAGGAAGTTAAACTAAACCAAATAAGGAAAACGGATGCGTACAGAGAGCACTGTGATGAGCAGAGGGAAAGGTGACGGCATATGATCTGAGGATGATAAAAGGAGCGGCTCCGGGAGAATCGGGTCCTCGGCCGGCTCTCGGGTTCAAGACTTGCTGATCGATCGACCACATCAGGGCAAAGCATCTTCGAACTCAGAATTCCAACTCAAGAGATAGAGCAACGAACAAGCCATCATTGGAGAAAGAGAAGTCCAACAATCTACAGCCTAGAAGGGAGCGGCAGGCAGAGGAGGATTAACCATCTCCACCCGGCTGCAGGTTCCAATTGATCACCAAGGATCACTCTTTCGTTCACCCTGCCACCTGAGACTGCACTGGTCAGAGACTTTGCGGACTTTGGACAAAGTCGGGAATCTCAACAGCAACCAACAGTACGGCAGGCCAGGAAGAACTGTATCGGCCGGTACACCTCTTCCCTCTCTCTCTACAAGCTGGACATTCGACGATTCAGCTGCAAGCCTTTTTCATCAGGGGTTTGAATTTTAAACAATTTTTACTTAATATTAGAAATATAATTAATCATTATTAGTGGAAGTGAACAATCAGTTTTTGAATCAGTTTATGCTGTATACTTGCCCTTGCTAAAACATTGCAATAACCATTGAAGTTAAAGTATAAACTGTGGACATTGGATTTATGATATCTCATCAGGCAGTAATTATTAGGTAGTGGGTTCACCATCGTAACGGTTCTAATGGGTTACTCTAGCCACAGAAATTCAACAGACCCTTGGGGCTTACTGTACAAGCCACTAAAATAATCCTAGCAATTAACAAGTGCACAGATCAGTAAGAGGAGAGCTGCCGTTAACGAACGTGACTAGCGTGGTATCTGGCTCCAGGGCTATTCGGTCAGGTGCAGCTCTAGAGTGAGCAGGGTAGGCGTTCGGAAGGAGGCAGTTAGAAGCCAGGCGTGTCTCCTCGCCACCAGCTTAAATAGCCTTTTTTAACCTAATAGGGTAATACTTATAGGGGGAGAGGCTCGGACCCTTTACAACGGAGAGCTGGTCCAGTACAACCTATACGGGGCTAACTCTGGATCTAACAAAATATCTCCTGTGGGGTGCCTGGTTAGCTCAGTCGGTAGAACTGGCAACTCATATACAGAGTTACTGTAGCGGCCTGGGTTCAAATCTTATCTGCGACCCTTTGCTGCGTGTCATTCCTTCTCTCTAACCCCCTTTTCTGTCTATCTTCAACTGTCACTATCTAATAAAGGTATGAAAAGGCCAAAAGAATAACTTAAAATATATAAAAAAAAACTTCCCTCTCAACCTCTTGGGGTGGTATCTGTGTCATCCTCAAGCTCGGGTCCTCTACCAGAGGCCTGGGAGTTTGAGGGTTCTGCGCAGTGTCTTAGCTGTTCCTAGGACTGCGCTCTTCTGGACTGAGGCTTCTGATGTTGTTCCTGGGATCTGTTGGAGCCACTCCCCCAGTTTGGGGATCACGCTCGCTTTGACCTTCCACATCTGGTCCAGCTGTTCTTTCAATCCTTGGTACTTTTCAACCTTTTCGTGTTCCTTCTTTCTGATGTTGGCGTCTGTTGGTATGGCCACATCTATCACCACCGCCTTCTTCTGCTCCTTGTCTACCACCACTATGTCTGGTTGGTTGGCCAGGACATGTTTGTCAGTCTGGAAGCTGAAGTCCCACAGCACCTTGGTCCTGTTGTTCTCAGGCACCTTCTGTGATTTGGGTACTTCTATTCCATACTGGATACAGATGTTCCTGTACACTATTCCAGCCACTTGGTTGTGTCTCTCCATGTACGCTGACCCGGCTAGCATCTTACACCCCGCTACTATGTGCTGGACTGTCTCAGGGGCATCTTTGCATAGTCCGCACCCTGGGTCAGATCTACTCTAGCCTCTATGGCTCTTGTACCTAGGGCCTTTTCTTGTGCTGCCATGATCAGTGCCTCTGTGCTGTCCAGCCTTTTCCAGCCATTGGTAGGTCTTCTCGATATCAGCCACTTCTTCAATTTGTACCCTTAACCACTCTTTGTGATGATCTGACTGAGGGGGTTCAGGCCTATGCAGAACAGCAGTGGTGATAGTGCATCTCCTTTGTATATGCCGTATTTGATGTTGATTTGGGTTTGTTCAACTATCACACATGGGTTGTCCACAAACTTTTGGCTACATATTCCTTGATTTTTCAGATATTTAATTCTGCCAAAAAAATCTAGTGGTTTACATAATGTGACTGAAGATACAGTCTTCAGACACCTGTAATGGAAAGGGATGGTTAATAGAAGGAAATCTGATGGTGTAATATATTAAGCAATTTATGGTAAATTACCAAAAACAAATAAAACTATAGTTGGGTACAAGAAGAGCCTCCCTCATTATAAGTAATCTCTCTGAATCAGAGCCAACTGAGCCCACTGAGGGACACGTGACAAAGAGAATGTGCCTTTGGACTAATGAAAGTGTCATTGTACGTATTGTGTACTGTAAATAAAGGTTATTGGATGTAAAGGCTGTGTGGGTGGTGTCTGGGTAACACAGTAACATCTAATGCCCTTGATTGACTTTTGTTGAGTCTCTTTACTGTTTGCTGTGTCTTTTTCTTCTGCCTGGCCTCATCACAAATTTGTAAAGCCTGATATCTCATCTTAAAGGAGTATAATTATTTACGCTGTTTTTGTCTGAAACGCTACAATCCACCTACTGTAAAATAAAAATCTCTTTTACTTTACTATACTGGGAACCAGAGGTACAGTTTCAGTAAAGTAGAAATATCATTTTGATATTATAATAAGTTTAAAACAACAATTCCCAGCTGCTGGTCACACTCAGTAAGCAGTTTGGGCTCTGGTCACACTACTAATGTAGAAAGGCTATTCCCGGAGTGCAGCACTGCTAAATTTACTCAGTCAAATCTGAATACACATACCGGTACATGATATTCAGTGCAGGCTGTCATACATTCATTATCCATTGTGAAAATGTACCTCAGTCGGCTTAGAAATCAGAGGGGTTAAAGATTCAACTCCAGTGACATGCAACTGAGAATCATCACATTCTTAAAGCTCCCCTCCACTCATTAATCAGTGTTTCCTCTTGTCCCTAGTGTGCTGTGCGAATGTTGTATGTGCACTTTGAAACTAGAAGGATGTTTTCACTTTCTTCTGCTGAAAGTGGAAAGTTTCTCTGTTTTTTATTGAAAATCAGATTTTAAGGGGCGGGCCCTTTATGTGAGATGATATGTGACATCACAAATAGTTTGGAGGTCAAACCTGGTCGAGTATGCAATTTTTACAAGTGTTATGTAGAAACTTGTAGCCTCCAGTACACGTACACTGAGGAGCAGAGTTATAGTTTCAAGTCCGTTTAGTTTCAGGTAGTTTCCAGAGTGGGTTTGCTAGTTCAATTTAGTTTTTATTTGTTTCAGTATTAATTCATTTTAGTTTTCAAGTCTAAGCACTAGGAGGAGCCAGAGGAACCTGTTTTTCTATTATTATCTGTTTCATGAACTACCGTCAGGATATAGTGAAAGTTTCAGAAAATATGACTAAAAGTATTTTTTTATTATAAAAGTTACCTACTGTTGCTTTAACTTTGACTTTTGTCACTGCAGTAGGAGCTGCTGTCAGTCTGTTACAACAGTCTCTCAGATAACTCAAGTAACTTTGTAACAAAAGATGAGTTGTTGAATTTATTCTTACATTGTTGTTCCTATTATAAATATCTTTTGAGAGTGAAGTTAAGTCAAATTTTATTTATATAGCCCAAAATCATAATTTGTCTCAGGGGGCTTTACAACCTCTGTCCATGGACCCTAAAGGTGACCTTCCTGACACACTAGTATTCTAACTGTGTAGTAAAGAGCTCTTTTAAGCAACTCATTCTTGGAAACAAAACAACTTTATTATTTGATTGTGTCCACATATCCAACCAGTGAATTATTTTATTGTCTTTCTCTTAACATCTACATATTGACTTTATACACACAAACAGTATGTTGAACAAGTATGTCAGCACTGTGGAGAGAAATCAATGTTCTTCCTACTGATGAATGAAACTAATGATTCAAATATAACTACACTTTTTTTCTTCTCTCTCGTTTCACTCCTTACGAGCGCAGACCCCGATCTAGAGCCAGTGTTTGGTTTGTACCGTAGAAACATGGCGGCCTCAACAAAAGGAGACCTACTGTGTCTGTAGCCAAAAAGGTCAGATTCTAGATCCTCCTAAATTTACACACTGGACCGTTAGGGCACAATTAATTGAACAGCAATGTAAAATATTACAACAAACAATGCAAATATAGAAAAAACAGGATGTCTACAGTTTATAAATCACACAGAAGATTACAGTTTCATATAGAAAAATGCTCATTTTGGATTTATTACTAAATTAACTATCATTAACAGTGATTTAACCATTATCTAATCTGTGAAAGCAATTTCTGTTTGCTGATCTATACAATGGTTTCTGGGAAAAACCCACTCTAACTCTGGTCTACTTGACGTCACAAAACTCAGCTGTAGATCCAAAATAATAAACACCAAGTCCAGCATACAGTGGCTGAGTGAATGTGGTCTGGACTTTGTGGAGGACAGTGATGGATTCAGAGATGCTATAAAATATCAGAATACCTGCTCTGAAATCCACAAACACTCCAATCCTGGAGGCCTGAGGGGCTGAGATGGATATTTTGTCACTGTTATGTTTGAAATTATAACCCTTACCTTTGGGTAAACACTCTAATACCCAAGACTTGTCATTGTTTCCAAACATACTTTCGTCTCCTGTTCTGGGAATATCCTTTTGTGCAACTGCTATCGAGGCTCCTAATTCACTCCACTGCACTTCCCAGTAACACCGTCCAGTCAGACTCTCTGCTCAGAACCTGAGAGTTGTTCATGAATCTAAGTAAGTTACTTGAACATGGCTGTTCTTCTCTCATTGAGGTTGCTTTTCTGTTATCGTCAGACAATAAAATCTGCATGTTTGCTGTGTTTGGATCCGGTTTTAACTGATGCTTTTGAACTGCATAATGTGAAAACTCAGCTCTTGTCTTGGGGTCTTGTGGAAGTAAAAAATCCACTTCAGTAACTCTCATTGCGATATTTTTCAATTTCTTACTGTAACTTTCCAGTGATTTAGCTCTAGCCTCTGACACAGCTGTTGTCACATCCTCAAAGTATCGCAGAGGGCATTCCCTATCGATCCTGGGTATGATAGTAGATTCACTGAGGTGTGGCAGTGAGTAGAACTTGCGCAGAAACTGGGTTTGATCCTCTGTGTGTGAGAGCTCCTCCAGATCAGCATCTTTCCTCCTCAGATCAGCGATCTCCTGCTCCAACTTCTCCTGAAGCTCTTTGGAACGACTCACTTCAATCTCCTGGTGGGATCTGATCTTCCGCTTCACAGCAGAACTTCTCTCAGTGAGAAGAACCAGCTCAGTGTACATCTTTTGACTTTCCTCTGCTGCTTTGTCAGCAGAGCGATTGATAGCTTCCACCTCCTGCTGAAACATCTTTGCATGTTTCTCTTGGTTCTGGATTCTCTGTTGGATTTCCTGCCGACTTGGCCCAATCTCTCCCTTCCTTTTTGTCATTTCTGCTTCTGCTACGACAGTGTCATGGCCTTTATGTTCATCCATGGAGCAGAGATAACAGATACACTGTCGATCAGTGCGACAGAATATCTTCATTACCTCGTTGTGACGAGAGCAGATGTTCTCCTGAAACTTTGCAGAAGCTTCAATTAGCTTGTGTTTCTTCAATGGAACCACTGCATAGTGAGGCTGAAGGTGGACCTCGCAGTAAGAGACCAGACACTGCAGACAGGACTTCAGAGCTTTACGTTTTCTCCCAGTGCAGAGATCACAGGCCACATCTCCTGGTTTGGCATGGCAGTGTTTAGCTAGAGCAGCTTGAGGTTTTGTCTTCTTCAGCTCCTCCACTAAATCTGTTAACATGGTGTTTTTCACCAGAGCAGGCCTCGGTCTGAAGGTCTGTCTGCACTGAGGACAGCTGTAGATTTTCTTCTGCTTTTCTTCATCCCAGTGGCTTTTTATACAGTTCATACAGTAGCTGTGTCCACAGCGAATAGTCACTGGATCCTTTAGTGGGTTCAGACAGATTGAACAGCAGAATTTTTCCCAGTCCGGTTTATCTCCTTGCTGTGCCATTGCTCACTGATAGTGAATATCATTAAGGTTGTGAATATCAACCTGTTCAGCAGGAGGGAGTGGTTTACAGATTGTGCTTTATTCCAGGAAGGGGAGTGCTGGTCACCAGATCACCTTACTTAAGGTTCTTATCTCTGCTGCTGCTGTTAGCCAAATTATTTTACATGATTTTACATACTGGATTTATTTATAGTCCTTTTCTTTACGCATTAGCAGTTTTCTCTTTCTGACTTTCTCCAGCTTGTACTCATAGGTAGTAATAATTGCTCTTTGAGACTTTTCAAATGTTACTGAACCTAATGGATCAAATTCTTTTAAAGAGAGAGCGAGTGTGTGTGTGATCAGTAAAATGTGCTACTCATGTAACTCATGTTCAAGTTGAGAGCTGAGCTACGAGCAAGAAGGCACGTAGGCCTTAGACAGGATCGAACCGGCTTGAGGAGTTGAGAGGAAGAGGAAGTTAAACTAAACCAAATAAGGAAAACGAATGCGTACAGAGAGCACTATGATGAGCAGAGGGAAAGGTGACGGCATATGATCTGAGGATGATAAAAGGAGCGGCTCCGGGAGAATCGGGGTTAGTCCTCGGCCGGCTCTCGGGTTCAAGACTTGCTGATCGATCGACCACATCGGGGCAAAGCATCTTCAAACTCAGAATTCCAACTCAAGAGATAGAGCAACGAACAAGCCATCATTGGAGAAAGAGAAGTCCAACAATCTACAGCCTAGAAGGGAGCGGCAGGCAGAGGAGGATTAACCATCTCCACCCGGCTGCAGGTTCGAATTGATCACCAAGGATCACTCTTTCGTTCACCCTGCCACCTGAGACTGCACTGGTCAGAGACTTTGCGGACTTTGGACAAAGTCGGGAGTCTCAACAGCAACCAACAGTACGGCAGGCCAGGAAGAACTGTATCCGGCCGGTACACCTCTTCCCTCTCTCTCTACAAGCTTGACATTCGACCATTTAGCTGCAAGCCTTTTTCATCAGGGGTTTGAATTTAAAACAATTTTTACCTAATATTAGAAATATAATTAATCACTATTAGTGGAAGTGAACAATCACTTTTTGAATCAGTTTATGCTGTATACTTGCCCTTGCTAAAACATTGCAATAACCATTGAAGTTAATGTATAAACTGTGGACATTGGATTTATGATATCTCATCAGGCAGTAATTATTAGGTAGTGTGTTCACCATCTAACGGTTCTAATGGGTTACTCTAGCCACAGAAATTCAACAGACCCTTGGGGCTTACTGTACAAGCCACTAAAATAATCCTAGCAATTAACAAGTGCACAGATCAGTAAGAGGAGAGCTGCCGTTAACGAACGTGACTAGCGTGGTATCTGGCTCCAGGGCTATTCGGTCAGGTGCCGCTCTAGAGTGAGCAGGGTAGGCGTTCGGACGAAGGCAGTTAGAAGCCAGGCGTGTCTCCTCGCCACCAGCTTAAATAGCCTTTTTAACCTAATAGGGTAATACTCATAGGGGGAGAGGCTCGGACCCTTTACAACGGAGAGCTGGTCCAGTACCATCTATACGGGGCTAACTCGGGATCTAACAAAATATCTCCTGTGGGGTGCCTGGTTAGCTCAGTCGGCAGAACTGGCAACTCATATACAGAGTTACTGTAGCGGCCTGGGTTCAAATCTTATCTGCGACCCTTTGCTGCGTGTCATCCCTTCTCTCTAACCCCCTTTTCTGTCTATCTTCAACTGTCACTATCTAATAAAGGTATGAAAAGGCCAAAAGAATAACTTAAAATATATTAAAAAAAACTTCCCTCTCAACCTCTTGGGGTGGTATCTGTGTCATCCTCAAGCTCGGGTCCTCTACCAGAGGCCTGGGAGTTTGAGGGTTCTGCGCAGTGTCTTAGCTGTTCCTAGGACTGCGCTCTTCTGGACTGAGGCTTCTGATGTTGTTCCTGGGATCTGTTGGAGCCACTCCCCCAGTTTGGGGATCACGCTCGCTTTGACCTTCCACATCTGGTCCAGCTGTTCTTTCAATCCTTGGTACTTTTCAACCTTTTCGTGTTCCTTCTTTCTGATGTTGGCGTCTGTTGGTATGGCCACATCTATCACCACCGCCTTCTTCTGCTCCTTGTCTACCACCACTATGTCTGGTTGGTTGGCTAGGACATGTTTGTCAGTCTGGAAGCTGAAGTCCCACAGCACCTTGGTCCTGTTGTTCTCAGGCACCTTCTGTGATTTGGGTACTTCTATTCCATACTGGGTACAGATGTTCCTGTACACTATTCCAGCCACTTGGTTGTGTCTCTCCATGTACGCTGACCCGGCTAGCATCTTACACCCCGCTACTATGTGCTGGACTGTCTCAGGGGCATCTTTGCATAGTCCGCACCCTGGGTCAGATCTACTCTTGTAGATCTTGGCCTCTATGGCTCTTGTACCTAGGGCCTTTTCTTGTGCTGCCATGATCAGTGCCTCTGTGCTGTCCAGCCTTTTCCAGCCATTGGTAGGTCTTCTCGATATCAGCCACTTCTTCAATTTGGCGGTGGTACGTGCCATGTAGGGGCTTGTCCCTCCAGGTTGTCTGCTCCTCTTCTTCTTCTGCACTCTTATCGGGTTTCTGTTGCCTGAGACATTCACTTAGCAGTTCATCCTTGGTGGCCATTTTTCTGGTGTACTCTTGGATTTTTGATGTTTCATCCTGGATAGTGGCCTTGATGCTCACTAGTCCTCGGCCTCCCTCTTTCCGCTTAGCGTACAGTCTCAGGGTGCTGGATTTGGGGTGAAACCCTCCGTGCATGGTGAGGAGCTTTCTTGTCTTGATATCTGTGGCTTCTATCTCCTCCTTTGGCCAGCTTATGATCCCAGCAGGGTATCTGATGACTGGTTGTGCGTACATGTTGATGGCTTGGATCTTGTTCCTGCCATTCAGCTGACCTTTCAGGACCTGCCTTACTCTCTGGAGGTATTTGGTTGTGTTTGACTTCCTTGCGGCTTCCTCATGGTTTCCATTAGCCTGTGGGATACCAAGGTACTTGTAGCTGTCTTGGATATCACCTATGTTGCCCTCTGGTAGGTCAACCCCTTCATTTCTGATCATCTTGCCTCTCTTTGAGACCATCCAGCCGCACTTGTCCAATCCGAATGACATCCCTATGTCATTGCTGTAGATCCTGGTGGTGTGGATCAGTGAATCGATTTCTTGCTCATTCCTGTCGTACAGCTTGATGTCATCCATGTAGAGCAGGTGGCTAATTGTTGCTCCATTTTGGAATTGGTACCCTTAACCACTCTTTGTGATGATCTGACTGAGGGGGTTCAGGCCTATGCAGAACAGCAGTGGTGATAGTGCATCTCCTTTGTATATGCCGCATTTGATGTTGATTTGGGCAATTGGCTTTGAGTCGGCTTCTAGGGTTGTCTTTCACATTCCCATCGAGTTCTGGATGAAGGCCCTTAGGTTCCTGTTGATCTTATACAGTTCCAGACATTCCAGTATCCATGGGTGGGGCATTGAGTCGTAAGCTTCCTTGTAGTCGATCTCGGCGGTGCACAGGTTGGTCTGTCTGCTCTTACAGTCTCAGGCGACTGCTCTATCGACCAGTAGCTGGTGCTTGGCTTCTCTGGTGTTGCTACCAATTCCCTTCTGAGCCCCGCTCATGTATTGAGCTACGTGCTTACTCAACTTAGCTGCGATGATGCCTGACAGGGCCTTCCATGTTGTGGAGAGACAGGTTATTGGCTGGTAGTTGGATGGGATGGGTCCCTTCTGAGGGTCCTTCAGGATTAGGACTGTCCTGCCCTGGGTTAGCCACTCTGGGTGGGACCTATCCCTTAGCAGCTGGTTCATCTGTGCTGCTAGGCGTTCATGGAGTGCTGTTAGCTATATATATACATATATATATGTCTACTGTGGAACCAGCCCTTTATAACTCATTAATAATTTATTTTGTGCGTGTGCGCACGTGTGCTACTTTTATTACTCCCTCAGTGGAGGGAGATTGACATTCGGGTTTATTTGTTGGATTAGTGTTTGGTTTGTTTAATTCATGTTTTTTGTTAAAATAAGTGCAAAATAAAGCCAGGCCGAATGGGAGATGATACAGCTGAACTCATGTAATATCATAATGCAAGCGCTGATTGATTCCACATTTGGTGTGGAAGTGGGCAGCAAGTTCATTTACATGTCTATAAAACAGAATGTGAATGCCTTGATGCATTGAGGAAATACAGGACTGAATGTGCAGTTGTCCATGGTCAACCAAGCAATAATGAATATGCAGTGTCCAGTTGAATTTTCAAAATAAGCGTGTGGACCTGAAAGGATTGCGTTTTGGTTAGGTTTCGGAAAAGATTTCTAGTTACGTAGCTGACGTAATAGGCAGGGTTGGTAGGGGTTACTTTAAAAATGTAATTTGATTAGGAATGCACGGGGCCGATAAACTATTGGCCGAAAATTAGATATTTATATTGCAAGGAATTATGAGGATAATTAAATTACAGCCAATACATTATCTGTCCAATCCGGTGGTCTCCTGGGTTTAAGTCCTGAATTTGTTTGACTCCACCCCGACCTCCTCCATAGGCAGGCTTTATCTGTCATTATACTATGTCACCTGACTTTGACGGCACATTAAAACATAGGCTAGATGGTAACGTCCAGAAAAGAAGGTACCAACAGTGTCGTAGTTTGAAGCATAAGACCACTGACCAAGCTGCTGTATTTTATGGGTTAGGAGTGAGAATGGGCTGGGAGAAGAGGTGTGTGGTGTTTCTG